AATATATACAGGGGTGAGAAGCACCCTCTCCAAAAACACTATCTACTAAAATAAATGTGCAAACACTTACCCTAGAGCTCCTTCCACCCTGCTCGACCGGTCCCGAAGCTATGTCCAGGGGTCGAGTCCCGCTGCAAGTCCAGGCACCTGTCCCGTTGAAGGTTCAGGCTCCCGTCCCGCAGTATGTCATCCTCTTCATCGGCTGTGCCGACTTGTGGGCGTAAAAGCCGACTTCTCGGTGCGACGACGGGGGGTAACAACCCCTAACCGGAGGCTATGAGCCATTCCCGGCCCGCCGCCGCTGTGTGCATGGCGCAGACGGGAGACGTGAAACGGTCCGACCCTGACGGCATAGACGTATCATTTGCCATCGAGGGCCCGCCGCGCCATATACTCGCACACCCGACCCAGGGCGAAAAGCGCCCCGGGCCCGCGCCATAGGACGCCCTTCCTCGCGCTTCACTGCGCATCGCGGTCTGAAGGACCGCGATAACAACAAAACTTCGTCTTCCCCACCCACCACGAAAAACGCGGTTGGCAAGGAACGCCGAAGATGTAGCGAGCCATACAGAGCAATATACAATATTGCAGAGTATCGCCCGCCTCCCAGTTAGCGACCACCGAGTCTGCAGGATACGCACCGGTCATCACAAAGTTAACAAACTTTGCCATAGCCGATACCACCCTAACTCAGATGGCCGGGCCCCCCCGGCAACGACAAGCCCTGGGGCTGCACGAGATACTCAAAGTGCAGTGGGGGGGGAACCTAACCTAACCTTTTTTTTTTTTTTTTTTTTTTTTTTTTTTTACTTGGAGGAATCGACTCTTTACCGACGCCCCCGCCTGGCCACATCGAGTGGCGGGGGGAGTGTGGGGGTCGGCCAGCTTGACCACTACCCACTAAACCTCCAAGAGCCCACGGGAGACTTGCCGGACGCGAGCGAGCGGTTAGTTGCCCTTGACCCGCATGCCCGCGCCCGTGTGTCCTGCCGCGCGTGTTTCCCGCGCGCGGCTCGCCCTACGTGGCCGGTTGATGGCCACGTCTCCTGGCTCGGTCCTAAGACCGAGGTCACGGCTGGCGCCGGGCGTAATCGCGCCGGCGCCGCCCAAGTCTCCTCCGTCGGAGTGCGGGGGCGTCGGGAGCAATCTCCCTCGCCCTCTCCGCTTCCTCCTTTTGCGAGAGGACGTCGGCGCAGAAGGCCTCAAAGGCCCGCCACGGAGCGTCATCCGCGCTCCTAACTATCTACTATCCCTGCCACAATGGCTGGCAGGGACAGATCCGCGCCGAATGCTCCATGCATGCCTCCAAGGTGTGTTGCGCCGTGTCTGAGGCGCATCCGCAGTGATGGCAGGAGACTGTTTCCTCCCGCCGGATCCCGTGCAGGTATTTGCCGAAGCACCCGTGCCCCGACAAAATCTGCACCGCGTGGTAGGACAGGGATCCCCACCGCTTCGTCCTCAGCCACTCGGGCAGGACGGGCGCGATCGCTCGAAGCGTATGCGCGCCTACCCGGGAGGTGGCAAGATGCTCTTGCCACCGCGCAACAACAGCCCTTTGGCCGTCCTCCCTCCAATCCTTGAGGAGCTCGTAAGTGAGCTCCTCGCCTCGACTCCGGACTTCAGCCCGGCGCCAGTAAATGTCGGCTAAGGCAGCCGCCTCCAGGTGCCAGGGTGCGAGCCCGGCTATTGCGCACACCGCGTCATAGGACACGGTGCGGTACGCCCTCGCCACCCTGAGCGCCATCACCCGTTGCGACTGCCTCAGCAGCGCAAGGTTCTGCGCCGACAAATCCTGGGCCCATATGGGGCAGCCATAGAGCGCCTTGGAGCGCACGACGCCGGCGTACAAGCGGCGACACCCCTCGCTCGAGCCGCCAAGATTCGGCATTATTCGGCACAAAGCCGATGCCGTGGCGGCGAGCTTCGGGGCAAGTGCCGCGAAGTGCGCCTTGAAGGACCACCGAGAGTCGAGGACCAACCCCAAATACTTTAGGGTGGACCCTATCCCGATGGCCTCTCCGCCGACGATGATGTGCGCCCCGCTCGGCGGCGCTCTCCTGGGACCGTGGAATGCGATCGCCTCTGATTTGTTCAGGGCGACTCGCAGGCCAATCCTCTGGATCCGCGCCACGACCTGTGCCACCCCGGCCGTGGCGCGAAGCTTGGCCTCGCGGAAATCGTCGCCCCTCGCAACCACCAGGGTGTCATCCGCGTAGCAGATGACGCTGACACCCCGGATGAGAGAGCAACGCAGGACCCCGTCATAGCCGATATTCCACAGGAGTGGACCTAACACCGACCCCTGCGGCACACCGCAGCTGACGGGGTGGGAACCCCATCCCGTCAGCAAACCAAATCCCACCAAAAATCGACCCTCCAGGAGCCGTTTCGCGGAGACCACAGGGACATGCGCCCAAACTGCGCCAAGTCCCGTGCGGTCCCGCCTCAAGTCTCCGACCCTCACTTGCCAGAGAGGGCACTCGCCCTTTTTCGCGATGGCATCAGCCACCTCCTCCCTCGAGACGGAGTCGTCAAGGCCCGAAATTCGGACGTCGACGGCCTTTTGTGGCCGCGACACCTTGACGGCTTCGCCGTCCAAGACCTCCCCGAGCTTTTTCGCGAGAGCGTCGGCCTTAGGGCCGCTCGCGGCTCCGGGGAGTTGGAGGATGGTGGCTCCGGTGGCCGCCTTCCTCACCCTGATGCCATCGAGGCCTGTGACCTCCTTGAGGTCCAGCCTCTCCCTGGCCTTCCTCAGGACCTCGCTGTACGAGAGTCCAGCCTTCGTAGCCTCCTCGGTGATGGTTAATACCACCGCCGAAGACCGAGGCGCCCTGAGTTTCGGCTTTTTCGCCGTTTGAGGGCCGGATGACTTTGCAGGCCCTTTGCCTGCACGCGGTCGATCCTGCTTCTTCGGAGCCTGACCTCTCGCCCTTGTCTGAGCAGGCAGACTCCGGGGCTCCTTCTTCCGGGACGTGCGTCCCTTCCTGACCACCGTTACCCAGTTCCCCTCTAGGGAGTCCGGGTTCGGCGGCCTCGACGGTTCCGGGGGAGGCACCACTACCTCGCCCCTAACCGGAGCCTTCTTCCTCTGCTTCTGCGGCCCCTTCTTCGCCGAAGGGGCGGCAGGTTTGGCGGCTGCTTTGTCAACCGCCAATGGCGGCCGGAGTCGGGGAGCAGGGTTCAGTCGAGGCTCTAAGCCCTCGAACCTGGCGTTCACCCTGTCCCCAATCTTCCGCAGCAACCCTGCCTCGAACTCCTCCAAACTAGTGGGGAGTTGGGAGGACCGCTGCAGATCCTCCACCCGCCGAGTCAGCTCCTCCATCCTTTCGCGGAGCTTTTGATTCTCCGCTTGGAGGACCTTTGTCTCCTCAGAGACCGTCCTCTGGATGAGGAGAGCAGAGTTCTCCCGAATGGACGCGACCGCGTCATTGAGGGCGCGGACGAAGGTCCCCTTCAAACTCCCGGACTTCTTCGCCACGCTCTGGATCACACCCAGACTCTCGTCAATGCCCTTTATGGCATCGACGGCGGAACGAGGCATGGGGACACAAGTGCCCATTATGTCCCCCTCGTCCCATGCGAGCGACGCCACAGAGGAAGGCCGCGTAGATCGGGCCTCCGAGACAGAGGCCGCTAACTCAGCCTCCGCCTGGAGCCGGATCTCCTCCCTCTTGGCCTTATTCAGGGCCTTTTTGGCGGCCGCCAACCCGACGTACTCGCCAGTGGTTGGCGGGCGGCCCCTGGGTCGCTTCTCTGCGGACCCTTTCTTCGCCACTGAGAGAGGGGTGTCTGTGGAAGACCCCTCTTCTGGCGATTTCTCTCCCTCTTTGGGTCGTTTCCGCTTCTGGCGCCAGAAGCGGCTCGACTCCAGGTCTCCGACCGGAGGGACTGAGCCAGCGGACGACACGCTGACTAAGTCCGAATCCGAGTCGGACAGATTTAACGAGGCCCTGGAGGACCTCGTACTACGGCTAGCCCTAGCCAAGGCTGACGCCGACAATCTTGTCAACGCCACCCTCAGCGCTCGCCCTTCTACCTCTTCTCCTCTCTTCTCCTTCTCCTCTTCCTCCTTTCTTTGTATGTAAGTTTTTATTTGTTTAGTTATTTGTTTTTCTTCTTCCATCTTTTTCCATAATAACATATGTTGCGCCTCGCTACAAAGCGCAACGGCATTTCTTTGGTTTTAAGGGAAATGCAAAGTCCACCCGGGCAGAGCCCTGTACCCGGGTAACCCTAATACAACTGGCGGTCGGGCGGTCGCCAGAGGTTGGCCGCTAGCTGGCCCGGTTACTGCCGGACCACCCACTCACCCTGCGGGCAAGCGGGGGCGCAGTGCCGCGCAGAGGTCCGAAGACGCCCCAACACCACGCAAAATTCAGGGTTTTTTCTGAGGTTTTCCTTCCTCTTGGGCCGGCCGATTAAGGCAAGCCCCCTGGTCCCAGGTGCGCCGCGAGACATGATCCACGACACGCACCCGGGGAAACAGGTTTGCCCGACGGAGGGCCGAAACCCCTAACCAGGCGCAGCACATCGCCACGCCCGGCCCGCCGCGCCGCGGTCCACCACCACCGCCGTCCGTGGTGACTCCACCACCATACTGCGCCATGAAGGCCACTGGTCTCAACAGACCCCAACAATCGTGCTCGGAGGCACGCTCGCAGCGCTCTGAGGTGAGCGCTGCGTCTCCGTGATCGGTCTCCGCGTCGTCTTCGGAGACCGACCGATGGATCCAATTAGCTTCGTCGTGCAATAGCGGCCAGAATCGGCAGACCCACAGACAGTCTGTTGCCGATTAGGCACCTGGCCACTATAATAAGCACCGACTACTGAGCCCCCCGCCGCGACAAGGCCTGGATCATGGGGGGGAACCTAACCTTTTCTTTTTTTTTTTTTTTTTTTTTTTTTTTTTTTTTACTTGGAGGAATCGAGTCTTTACCGACGCCCCCGCCGGGCCAAGTGCAATGGCGGGGGGAGTGTGGGGGTCAACCGCGAGTCGGCCACTACCCACTAAACCATCCAAGAGCCCGTCTGCCACTGCTCTGTTCGGTCAAGGGGCTGGTATCAGCTAAGCCTTTGCCCAGCCCCGAGCCGAGGGCAGATGTCGCACAGCTTGCGCGCGCGTATCGCCGTCTTGGCCTTCTTCTGCCTATGTTTCCATAGGAGCCCCTGTTGGAGGGGCCTTGGCCCCATTCGTGGGGTCCTTTTTGCGCGCCCTTTTGGGAGGCGCTTTACACTTAGCGCCACCCAACTTGTGCTTCGCGTCCTTGCCGGCTGCAGCGCATATTGCGCAATGTGGCTCGGCCGTGCAGGACGCGGCGACATGGTCGGGCTGGCTACATCGGTAGCACAGCCGACTACGGTCACATTCTGTGACACAGCGGCCCGCGATGTGTCCGCTCTCCAAACACTTGTAGCAGCGGAGTGCCCGGGGTTTCGCCACAGTCACCTTCGCCACCACCCATCCAACGAGGAGCTTGCCTTCTGCAAGTTTCTTCGCGACTTCGATCGGAGCCCGTACCCAAACTGAGTACGAACCCCACCTGTCGTCCCTCTTCTGGCCAATCTTCACGTCGTTGAATTGGCATCCTCCTTTTTTGGCCACTGCATCTTGCAGTTCCAATTCGCCGACCGACTCGTCGATTCCTGAGATCCTGATGTCTACAGTCTTCGCGGGCCGCGTCACCTTCATCTTTCCGCCGAACAAGGTCCCCAGCTTTTCAGCCAGGGCATCGGCTTTCGAGCCGCTGTTCGCCCCAGGGAGCTCCAGAACTGTGGCCCCCGTTGCCGCCTTGCGGACTCTGAGGGTCTCAAGACCCGTAATCTCCTTGAGATCTATCTTCGACCTCGCGATGAGCAGGGCCTTCTGATAGGTCAGCATCGCCTTCTCCTTTCCCTCGTCCGTGAGGGTGAGGACTATTGCCGACGACCGGGGAGTCCTGAGCTTCGGCTTTGCCTTAGCCTTGGGACTTTTCTTGGCTTTGGTTGCCTTCCCCGGTTGCGGTTGCGGATGCGACTTCTCCTTTGTCTTCTTCCTTTTGACCACCGTGGCCCAGGTTTCTTCCAGAGAGTCTGGGTTCGGCGGCCTCGGGTCCTCCTTGTTTTTCGCCTTCTTGGCCTTCTTCTTTTCCTTTTCGGGTCCAGGTGCCACAACAGTCGCTACGGGAGTAGCTTGTGCCACCGTCTCCTTTTCTTTCCTCCTTCTGTCTGCCGCCAACGGGGGGCTGAAGCAACGGCGCTGGGTTGAGCCGGGGCTCTAATCCCTCGATGCGGGCATTCATCTTGTCCCCTAACTTTTGCAGGAGACTTGCCTCCAACTCTTCCATGCTTGGGGATCCAGAAGACTTCTGCAGGTTTTCTACCTTCCTGGTAAGCTCTTCTAGCTTCTCTCTTAGGCGCTGGTTCTCGGCGCTCAGGACCCTCGTCTCCTCGCAGACAGTTCTCTGAATGAGAACCATCGTGTTGTCCCTAATCGCCGAGACCGCATCCTTCAGGGCGCGGACGAAGGTGCCCTTCAAGTTTCCGGACCCCTTTGCCACGCTCTCTATAACTCCTAGGCTAGTTTCGATGCCTCTCTTCGCGTCCAAGGCAGAACGGGGCATCGAGCCACTGATGCCCGCAATGTCTCCCTCGTCCCACTGCATCGACGACACGGATGATGCGCGCGTCGATCTCATGTCCGAGGTGGACGCCAAGAGCTCCGCTTCTGCTTGGAGCTTCATCTCTTCCCTTTTGGCCTTCACTAAGGCCTGTTTCGCCGCTGCCAATCCGACGTATTCGCCGGTTGTCGGTGGGCGACCTCTTCTTCTTGGCTTCGACGAATCTGGCGCCTCGCTCCCACTACCACTCGATGCACCAGATCGACTCCGCTTTCGCGCTGACCTCGGTCCGAAGTAGCGCCTCTTCCCCGCCGTGTCGCAACTCGACACTGTCTCCATAGACCCTTCAGACGAGTCCGAGAGCCTACCATACTCCTCCTCAATGGCCGCACAAGATCGAGCGGCGGCCGCTACGGATGAACTTGGTGAAGAGCAAAGACGCTCCAACACCACTTTCGCATCCGAATATCTCCACTCTCTACCATGGGGGTTGCCGGCCTCCAGAATACGATCCGGCTTAACCGCCGCCCCTTCACCATTGCTGGATCCAGAGCGACGGGTGGGATTTGACCCACCTGGAGTAGATTTACTTTTCGTAGGTGCCTCCATGTTGTTTTTTGTTGTTTGGTGCCTTAGGGGCTGGACTCCCACCAGCCATTCATCCCCTCGCCAGGCACCACAGACTTAGGATTGGGGGTGCGCTGCCTATGTCAGCGCACCTCGCGGACAACGAGCCCGCCATCCTCCGTGCCGAAGCACCACTTTCGGTTCGCAACCGCTAACAGCGGCAGAGAACCGATCTCCACCGTACTATATACAATTTAATATTTACAAAGTAAAAATAAAATAAAATATATACATGGGTGAGAAGCACCCTCTCCTAAAACACTATATACAAAAATAATATGTGCAAAAACTTACCTAGTTCTTCCGCCCTGCTCGACCAGTCCCGAAGCAATGTCCAGGGGTCGAGTCCCGCCGCAGGCCCAGGCTCCTGTCCCATAACAGGCTCAGGCTCCCGTTCCGCAGCAGGTCATCCTCTTCATCGGCTGTGCCGACTTGTGGGCGTAAAAGCCGACTTCTCGGTGCGACGACGGGGGGTAACAACCCCTAACCGGAGGCTATAAGCCATTCCCGGCCCGCCGCCGCTGTGTGCATGGCGCCGACGGGAGACGTGAAACGGTCCGACCCTGACAGCGTAGACGTATCATTTGCCGTCGAGGGCCCGCCGCGCCATGTACTCGCACACACGACCCAGGGCGAAAAGCGCCCCGGGCCCGCGCCATAGGACGCCCTTCCTCGCGCTTCACTGCGCATCGCGGTCTGAAGGACCGCGATAAAACAAAACTTCGTCTTCCCCACCCACCACGAAAAACGCGGTTGGCAAGGAACGCCGAAGATGTAGCAAGCCATACAGAGCAATATACAATATTGCAGAGTATCGCCCGCCTCCCAGTTAGCGACCACCGAGTCTGCAGGATACGCACCGGTCATCACAAAGTTAACAAACTTTGCCATAGCCGATACCACCCTAACTCAGATGGCCGGGCCCTTCCGGCACGACAAGCCCTGGGGCTGCACGAGATACTCAAAGTGCAGTGGAAGGGAACCTAACCTAACCTTTTTTTTTTTTTTTTTTTTTTTTTTACTTGGAGGAATCGAGTCTTTACCGACCCCCCCGCCGGGCAGTGCAATGGCGGGGGGAGTGTGGGGGTCAACCGCGAGTCGGCCACTACCCACTAAACCATCCAAGAGCCCATCAACGCACTGTTTGGCAAGGGGTTGGCGATCAGTTGAAACCTTGTCCAGACCCCCTTTATGCCAAGTGCTTTGCCGCAGCGCATAGCGCGCAGCTCACCTTCTTGACCTACTTACTACGAATATATTTACAAAATGTACAAACAAAAGAAAATTGTACATTTAAATCTAACTAACTAATTTATTATATTTACAAGTACTTACGGCGCATTCGCATAGTTGCGTCTGCGCCTCCCTGTTCTTCTTCTTCTCTGGAGCGTAGCCCCCGGTTCTATTTCCCGGGCCCGCTCAGTATCCTCCTTGGCCTTGAGTACCTCCTCGCAGAACGCCTGGACAGCTTTCCACTTGGATTCTTCGGAGACCATACTCTGAACCAGGTCCTGCAAACTAAGGGGGTTACGTCTTGGTCTGTCTAGTCCGGTTATTCTCAACATGGTTCCCCGCTGGGAGTCCCATGCTGAGCAGTCAAATATTGTGTGCTGCGGGGTATCATTAAGACACCCGCAGTGATGGCAAATGGGGGTGGGTTCTCTTCGGGCAACTTTGTGAAGGTAGCTGCCGAAGCAACCGTGCCCGGTGAGACCCTGGGTCAGATGATAAGACAGTGTCCCCCATTGCCTGTCAATCCATTGTTGGACGACCGGCAGTATAGCCTGCAGCGTCCATTTTCCAAATTTGGCATTGGCTAGGTCTTCTTGCCACAATCTCGCTATGGCCTCGCGGCTTTGTTTGCGCCATGCCTCCACCTGTTCGTAAGTCGGTTCCACTCCCGACTTTCTGCATCTGTCCCTTTTCCAGTAGAAGTCCGCCAACACTTTAGCTTCGACGTACCATGGCGGCGTTGTTGCTAATAGGCACACCGCGTCGAAAGATGTGGTTCGATAGGCCCGTGCTACTCTGATAGCTACAGACCGTTGCGATCGCCTAAGTATTGCCTTATTGGCGTTATCCAGGTCACCAGCCCATATTGGCGCACCATATAGGGCTTGAGATCTGATAACTCCGGCGAAGAGCTTGCGGTGACTCGTTTTCGGCCCGCCGATGTTGGGCATGAGTCTCCTTAAAGCCGCCGCTGTAGCCGTAAGTTTTGGTGCTAACGCCATGAAGTGGGATCTGAAGTTCCACCGGGAGTCTAGTACGAGGCCCAAGTATTTGAGAGTCGTCCCGACTCCGATGGAAACTCCTCCGACGACTATTTGAGAGCCAGATGATGGGGCTCTTCTTGGGCCGTGAAACAGGATGGCCTCAGATTTCTCCAACGCCACCTCAAGACCTAGTCTCCTGATTTTTGCCACGACCTGTGCAACTCCAGCCGTGGCCTTCACCATTACGTCTCTAACGTCTCGACCTTTTGTTACGACTAGGGTGTCGTCAGCGTAGCAAATTACACTGACCCCCGGCAGCAACACACCTCTCAGAACGACGTCATACCCGAGATTCCAAAGAAGCGGGCCAAGTACCGACCCCTGAGGAACTCCCCGCTGCACTTGGTGTTCGCCCCATCCATCCCTAGAAGGGAACATAATGCTTCTCTCTTGTAGGTATGAAGCAATCGTCCTTACTATGTACGCAGGGACCCGGTGATGTTCGAGGCCCTGCATTATCGCGTCCCAAGGAAGGGAGTTGAAGGCGTTTTTAATGTCTAAGGACACCGCTAACACCATCCCTCCTTGAGTCGTGGCTTCGTCCGAGATATCGCGGAGGCGGGCGATTGCGTCGACGGTGGATCGTTTCTGCCGGAAACCAAACTGATTGTCCGACAGATCCGGCCCGACTGATGTTAAGTGTCGGACTATTTTGTTTGCGACGACGCGTTCAAAGAGTTTACCCGCCTCGTTGAGTAGAACTATCGGCCTGTAGGCAGACGGAGACTCCGCCGGCTTTCCTGACTTGCGCAACAGGACCAACTTTCCCTTCTTCCAGGCTTCCGGGAAGCAAGCACTCCGCAGACAGGATGACAGCAACCTGCGGAATCTATCTTCCAATCCGAACTCCAAAACTAGAGCCCAGACCTTTCCGTGCACTCCGTCCGGTCCCGGGGCAGTTCTCTTGCCCTGCATCTTCTCCACGGCAACCTCCAGTTCGGCCTCGGTTACATCCGGAACCTCCGAATCTTCGGGCACTTCTCTCACCGCCTGTGATCCCAGTCCAGAGGCGTGGGGTGGGAATAGAGCCGACACAACAGATGTTAACAGTGACGGCTCCATTGCAGCTGTAAGGGGAGGAACCCAGGGACGCAACCTGTTCATGACCAGTTTGTAGGGGCGCCCCCAGGGGTCCAATTCGAGAGACTCGAGCAATTCCTCCCACGCTCTCTGTTTTGCCTCTCCTATCTTTTGGCGCAAGATGTTTTTCGCCTCGACGTATACCGCGTATATACGGTTCTCTTCCACTGGGTCACCATATCCTCTGTGTCGTCGCCTATAACGCGAATAATGACGACGCGCAGCTGAACATGCAGCCCGAAGACGCGCAAGTTCCGGAGACCACCAATAGACCTGGTCTTTGTTTGGCGGAGCCCGGACTTTTGGCATAGCGACGTTCGAAATGTGCGCCATTTCTTGAGAAAACCACTGTGCTTCCTCCTCTACCGTTCTGGTTTCGGAAACTGGGCACCAACTGCTGACGATTGTGGCCAGTTCCAGCTTCTCCTTGTCCAACGCCTTGATGGCCCATTTTGGGCCAACGGCTGCAGGATCCGATGACGAACTGGGCCTGGTCGATGCCGCCAGAGGGGCGACACTAAACCGTATGTATCGGTGATCTGACAAGGTCTCCACCTCTGTCAGCACCTCCCAGTCCCGGATGCGACGTGCCACGGAGGGGCTCGCAAACGACAAGTCGACAATTGAGCCCCCCTGCATTCTGATGCAAGTCTCCTCCGATCCGCAATTTAGAAGAGCAAGGTCGTGCTCAGCGGCCCACTCCACTAAAAGGTCACCTCTGATGTTAGAGGCTGGAGACCCCCACGCCGTAGATTTGGCGTTGAAGTCTCCGACCACAACGATGTTTTGTGGTCTGCTACCTCTAACAAGAGAGCTGACCTCCTCTAAGAACCCTTCGAATTCGACCAACGGGCGATTCGGAGAAAAATAGCACCCTATCACAACCATGTTTCCGACTTTAAGAGAGACACAGTTGACCTTTCTTGCGACGGTTCCGATTGGGGGTGTGCCGAGGTTGTTACGCACGACTATTGCGACCGTATTATCGCTGTTCCCGACCCAATCGTCCCTAGCTGGAACCAAGTATGGCTCCGCGATAACTCCGATATCTATTGACCATTGCGCCAGAGTCTGCACGAAGAGGTTTTGGGCTCCGGCACAATGGTTAAGATTAGCTTGTAGAAATCGCAGAGACATACTAGGTTTCCGTGGTTTCTACTATCTCCATGGTTTGAGTCCCGCTCGGTGGGACAGTGTCCTTTACTGGGACCTTTCTTGCGACTCTCCTGGTGGGGGCCGAGCATTTGGCACCTCCCACCCTATGGTTGGCGTCTCGGTTTGCCGCTGCACATACCGCACAATGCGGTTTGGCCAAGCAAACAGACGCGACATGTCCTGGCTGGCCACATCTGAAGCAAAGGCCGCTGCGATCGCTTTCGCAGTTGCAACGACCAGCTACGTGACCACTTTCGAGGCACCGGAAACATCGAAGTGCTCTCGGCTTCCCCAGGGACACCTTAGCCGAAACCCAGCCCACCAAGAATCGCCCTTCCATTATTTTCTTGGCAGCCGTGTTCGGAACGTGTGCCCAGACAGAGCACAAACCCGATCGATCCGGTCTTATGGGCCCTACCCTCAGTTGAGAAGCAAGGCATTCTCCTTTTTTGACGATCGCGTCCCTCACCTCGTCCGACGTGACCGATTCATCCAGTCCACTGATCCTGATGTCAACGGCTCTAACTGGCCGCGACACCCGAACCGACTCTCTATCAAATAACTCCCTAAGCTTCTCCGCAAGTGCGTCAGCTTTTGGATCACTGGTAGCGCCGGGGAGTTGTAGAATTGTAGCTCCCGTCACAGCCTTCCTGAACCTGATAGCCTCAAAACCAGTGACTTCTTTCAGGTTCAACTTCTCCTTTGCCTCCTTTAACACTCCACTGTAAGTGAGCCCTTTCCTCGTGGCTTCTTCGGTTAGGGTGACAACAACAGCCGAGGTCCGAGGGGTTTTGAGTTTCGGCTTCGATGTCTTGGGGCCAGATGTGCTTGAAGCCTTGGTTTTACTGGCTTTCTTTGATTGTGTCTGTCCTTCTTTCTCTCGGAGCGGACGTCCCTTCTTTACCACTGTGACCCAGTTCTCTTCAAGAGAATCTGGGTTTGGCGGACGAGATGGGGCCCGACTTTGAGACATGGCAGCAGAGACGGACGAGTGCGTGGGGTCAGTAGAACCCGGTTCAACCGCATTTTCAACCCTCTCCGGTGCCTTTCCCTTTTTCTTCTTAGACTTACTCTTTTTCTTCCTTTCTATTTCAGGACCGGTAGCAGTAGCCGGTTCCGGAGCCGCTATAGCAATAGGTAAGTCCTTCCCTATTCTTTCTCCTTCTTTCTTCTTATCTGCCGATAAGGGTGGCCTGATCCGTGGCGCTGGATTGAGCCGGGGTTCAAGTCCTTCAATTCGAGCATTGATTTTGTCCCCCAGCTTACGCATGAGACCGGCCTCGAACTCTTCTAAGCTGCCTGGCAGCTGCGGGGCCTTCTGTATCCCCTCCACCTTTTTGCTGAGCTCGCCTAACTCCTTGCGAAGACGCTCATTCTCAGCTCTCAAAGCCTTGGTCTCATCGGATATGGTGCGTGTGATCAGCACCCCGGTACTCTCGCGCACTGTAGCCACAGCCTCTTTCAGGGCACGGACAAATGTCCCCTTAAGGCTGGAGGAACGTTTAGCTACGTCCTCTATGATGCCCAGACTGGCATCTATCGTCTTCTGCATCTCTAGTGCAGAGCGTGGGCCGGAGTCTTGGGTCTCCATCATGTCCGCGCTGTCCCATTCCAAGGAGGCTGGTGTTGTACTCCTCGTCTGTCTCGCTTCAGTGATTGATGCCAAAAGCTCGGCCTCCGCCCTAGCTTGCATCTCCTCCCGTTGAGCTTTCGCTAGCTCTTTTTTGGCAGCAGCCAAACCGATATACTCGCCCGTTGTTGGTGGGCGGCCTCTCCCTTTTCTTTGAACTGAGGTCGGGGTGTCCGTAGAACTACCTTCCTCGTCCATCTCCTTCTTTCTCTTACGGCTTCGTTCGCGCCAAAAACGACTAGGCCCCGAAACGGGCGAGGACGCCTTCGAGCGAGCCTGACTACTCGATGCAGCGGATGATACGCTGCACATAGAGTCCGAGTCCGAATCAGACAGCCTCGAAGCCATCGACTGGACCCGTGAGCCGCGAACTTCTCCTTCTGTCACGGGCAATGGCGTTACAGACCTCTGCAACACCACCCGCAACTCTTTCCCAACTCCTTTCTTTTCACTTCCACTCCTACTTCCATCGCTCTCTCCCTTTCTAACTTCGTCATGGGGGTTGCCGGCCTCCAGAATACGTTCCGGCTCAACCGCGGCACCTTCACCATTGCTGGATCCAGTACGGCGGGTGGGATTTGACCCACCTGGAGTAGTTTTTTGATACGTAGATACCTCCATGTTTTTATGTTTTGTTTTTGTTTGGTGCCTTAGGGACTGGACTCCCACCAGCCATTCATCCTATCGCCAGGCACCACAAACTTAGGATTGGGGACACACATAGTGTGCCTCGCGAACTACGAGTCCGCCATCCACCGTGCCGAAGCACCACTGGAGAAACGATCTCCATCGTCAAATATATACATGCCCATAGAGGGCAATCAACTAAACACATTATTTACAAACACAATACAATAAACAATAAAATACAGTAAAAAGTAAAATGAAAGAAAATAAAATATGTACAGGGGTGAGACGCACCCTCTCCAAAACACTATTTACAAAAATAAATAAATGTGCAATCACTTACCCTAAAGCTCCTTCCACCCTGCTCGACCGGTCCCAAACCAAAGTCCAGGGGTCGAGTCCCGCCGCAGGCCCAGGCTCCCGTCCCATTACAGGCTCAGGCTCCCGTTCCGCAGCAGGCCATCCTCTTCATCGGCTGTGCCGACTTGTGGGCTTATAGCCGACTTCTCGGTGCGACGACGGGGGGTAACAACCCCTAACCGGAGGCAACAAGCCATTCCCGGCCCGCCGCCGCTGTGTGCATGGCGCAGACGGGAGACGTGAAACGGTCCGACCCTGACGGCGTAGACGTATCATTTGCCATCGAGGGCCCGCCGCGCCATATCCTCGCACACCCGACCCAGGGCGAAAAGCGCCCCGGGCCCGCGCCATAGGACGCCCTTCCTCGCGCTTCACTGCGCATCGCGGTCTGAAGGACCGCGATAACAAAACTTCGTCTTCCCCACCCACCACGAAAAACGTGGTTGGCAAGGAACGCCGAAGATGTAGCAAGCCATACAAAGAAATATACTATATTGCAGAGTATCGCCCGCCTCCCAGTTAGCGACCACCGAGTATGCAGGATACGCATCGGTCATCACAAAGTTAACAAACTTTGCCATAGCCGATACCACCCTAACTCAGATGGCCGGGCCCTTCCGGCACGACAAGCCCTGGGGCTGCACGAGATACTCAAAGTGCAGTGGAAGGGAACCTAACCTAACCTAACCTAACCTTTGCCCCTGGGTCGCAACTCACCCGCCGTCCGGAGCACACGCACGCAGAGCCGCTCTACGCGTATTAATAATTCAAAATTAATTTTGAATTTTTCTTGCTGTCATATAAGTGTAATATATTAAAAGTTGCGCGCTTCAAAGGCCTACGCAGTGGTGTTAAAAGTTATTTTTTACGACTTTCGAGTTAAAAGAAAAAGTGAAATTTGTGAAGGTGAAAAAACTAAAAGTGAATATAACTCGAAATCTAAAGCGACGACCTATATTTTTTATTAAAGAATTAGAAAGTGCTCATCAAGAGCCAGCTAAAAACGTAAAGTTTAAAATTTTTTGCGACATAGTTTTAATATAACAACCTTATCAGTGAATACCAGCATCTTAATAAAAAGTGAATTTTAATATTAAATAGCTAAATAAAGTAAATAAATAAATACGGCACAACAACAAACTAAGACCTGCTGCGCCCTACGTCACTAAGAGGAGGACTTGAAACTAACCATCATCATCATCATCACTACATCACCTGGAGGACTACACCTCGCGAACAAGTTCGAGAAAAACATACAAGTCCTGTGACGTAGGTGAGACGCAGATAGGCCATCGCCGAACACATATACAGCTCTACAGTGACTCAGTGGTAATGGACTTTAAAAGAGGAATATTAGGTAACTAAATTAATATATACTACCATTCTAATAATTAATATATAGTGTTAACTTGATTACACAAGTAATTCTGTATTCCTAAGTATAGTAACATAGTAAAAACATAATTTATATAGCTTACTAAAATCTCTTTAAATAACCTTGAAATATTAAATTGTGTTAAAAGTGTACAAGGCTACGACGCTAGACGACGTCACCGCACACCTGCACGTTGTCCCGCGGGCCGGACTCAGCGAATTAAAATTATTTTACTCTATTTTTATTTTTTCTTAACACACTAAAGGTAGAATTCTGAATAATAATTAACAAAAACTTTAAATAATTTCTGGTAGTGTTATCGACAGTAGATATTTGGGTAAAAAACTGTCTTAAAATAGTAAATTAATATAGATATATCAGCAATAATAAATAATACTAAAGGTATTTATGACCTTTAAAATCCGGGTACTCTGTAAAGTAAATTAATCGTCTTATACTACATAATAAAAGTAAATTTTACCACACTGCAAAATTAAAATTCGAGTTATTAAAATTCGTGCCAATTTCGTTACTGTCCGTGCCTGTATTCCACGCACACTAGCGTACACTCAATATAATAGAGCTTCGCATTCCCTTACTTATTATTATTGCCAACATTCTTTATTATTTCTTAAAACTTGGTACTTTTGAACTCGTTTCTTATAAATATTTACTTGGTACTCTAGAACTTGTTTCTAATACATATAAATTTTTCTGGTTAAAGGTAATACAAATTAAAATTTTGTAACAATAATAGGCAATTTAAGGAAATTTTTAAATTTATCTAAATAATAAGTAATTAATGGGTAGTTCTATTAATACCTAAGTATCTGTGGAAATTTAAATTCAAGTTAATCTCTCCAACCTAATTTAGAAGTTAATGCAAATAACATTATATATTATTTCTTAAAACTTGGTACTTTAAACTTGTGTCTAATACATTTTAATTCTTCTGGTTAAAAGGTAATACATTCTAAATCTTGCAATAATAATAGACAATTCGAGAAAATTTTTAAATTCATGTAAATAATAAGTAACTAATTGGTAGTTCTACTAATACCTAAGTATCTGTGGAAATTTAAATTTAAGTTAATCCCTTTAACCTAATTTAGGACTTAATTAATACAATACTACTAAATACAATATCTTTCTTTTTCCTCACAAAATACATATAGTTCCATTAGTGAATAAAGTTTTAAATAACCTTGAAAATTTAAATCGTGCTAAAAAGCGAACAAGACCAAGACGCTAGCTGACGTCACCGCGCACCTGCGCGACGACTTGCGGGACGGACTCAGCATTTTAAAAATTTTATTTTATTTTCTTTTACATTAAAATACTAAAATCCGATTAATAGTTACTAAAAGGCCTTATAACATCTTCACTTAAATTATTTTATTCGTTAGAGATATAAAAACAGTAGTTATATAATAAATTAACAAATTATAATTGAATTGGTAACAAAGATATGTGCAGAAACATATACTCGAACAGCCACTAAAACCTCTGTACTCTTTTTATTCAATTAATAGCCAATTAATACGAACAAGGTAACTTTCACAACATTTTTTATACTGAAATCGGAAGACTAAATTTCCCCGCAATTTGCTTACGATCCGTACCTGTATCGCACTCACACTAACGTAAGAGCGAACCGTATTCCTTAACTTATTAACACTAACATTCTTTCATATAATATTGGTAGTTTGATTTTATTATTGTGCTTGTTCTTAATATTTTAGTAGTTAAAATTAAAATAGCAACTTACTTTCGGGACTTGTATTGTTTTATGGTATTATCTGCAAGAGTAAAATATACAACTAAACTATCGACTATATTATAACCTATACTTCGTCAAAATAATTGCCTTAACCTGTAATTCACATTCTACTTAATTACAATACATAATATATAAATAAAATATCCTTAATAACTTTACATTTAACGCTTAATACAGAACTTAAAAACAACCTAAATTAAAAAATTTTTCAATATGTTTGTAGTACCACGCGAAAATAGATCTCCACCTCCCCCTGCAAACTTAATAAATTTAGATAAAACTTTTGAAGTAGAGTCTGGCGCTTCTAGAGATTTAGAAACGAACTACACAACTCTCAACCTAACAACTAGAGCCAGAGCTGAAGTCACTAAAATCAGAAGGGCAGTTACCGAATCCCGCAACCTAAGGAGTGACCTAAAACAAAAAATTCTAGAATCTACAGACGAACTTAACATTATTCTCAAAAATATTAAAGAAAGCGCTGTAGGAAACAAACAATCTCTGCCATCACCAACCCTACCGACTCGTAGACTGGACCCGGAGAATGCTCCAACTTCAACCACCATTCCACCCACCACCATAGAACATAAAATCCTGGAACACCTGAAAGAAAATAAAGAACTTATTAAACAACAAACCGAAGAATTAAATAAACTTAAAAAAGAAATTAAAACTAATAAGCAAGAAATAAAACATGACGAAAGCGGAAAAACAATAATCGAGGAACTAAACAATATGAATAAAAAACTTAGTGAAATAGACCAAAAGATAATAAATATAAATTTTACTAGCTTAGAAGAATTGAACCTAGATACTATAAAAGAGGAAACAAGGAATATTAATAAGCTACAAGAAATAATGAAAGAGCAAATCAAGATACTAAAAGAGGAAAGTAATAATATGAAAAGCGATAACAATTTGGAGGAACTCAAAACATTCATAGACAAAAAACTAACCTATGCAAACATTGCCGCAAGACCCAAGGAAACTAAAATATCAGATTTTAAAGAAAAAGAAACGGAGGTTCACTCAATTATTGTTAGTCCAATAAATGAAAAGGAAACAGGGGAAGAAGTAATAAAAAGAATCAGGTCAGCAGTTAATGCTAAAGAAGAAGGAATACAAATAGAAAGAATAAGAAAAGTTAAAGACGGGAAGGTAATTGTAGGCTGCAAGGGCAAGGAAGAAACATCAAAATTAAAGAATCAATTGGAAAAAGAAAAGATACATCTGAACGTGAAAGAAATAACTAATAAAGATCCGCTAATCATAATTAAAAATTTATTAAGCTATAATAAGGAAGAGGACATTAAACTTTGGCTCTCAAGACGCAGAACAAAAACGTTACTAACTCAATCGCGGAGGAGGACTTCAGAGTGAAGGAGAAATACCGTAGGAGGGCAAGGAATTCGCATGAGGAACACGTTGTACTCCAGGTGTCTCCTAAACTCTGGAGTGCTCTTACGGCGGTTGGAAAAGTGCACATTGACATGCAAAAAGTCAACGTCGAAGATCAGTCCCCCGTAATTCAATGCACTGGATGTCTCGGATTTGGACACGGAAGGAGGAATTGCGAAAGCAAGGAATCCGAGATATGCAGTCATTGCGGGGGACAACATCTCAAGGCCGAATGTGAAAGATACTCTGGGGGTTACCCCCCAAAGTGCCACAACTGCGCAAGCTCGAACCTCCAGAGCATAGATCACGGAGCCTTCGACATTAACTGTCCAATCAGAAGCCGTTGGGAGAAAATAGCCAGGCGTAGTTATAACTACTGTTGTTAAAGAAAAGGACACTAATAATAAAACAGTAAGCAACAATAAGGAAGTTAAAGCTATACAGATAAATTTACAACGTAAAGAATTAGCAACAATAGAACTTATTAAAGAAGTACAAGAAAGAAATATAGATATAGCTCTAATACAAGAACCTTATATAGGAAGAATAGGCAAAATTAAACACTATACAGGAATAAGAATATTTCAATGCGAAGAACCAAATACAATAGTAAAAGCAGCAATAATAATAATAAATAATAAATTAAAGACAGAAGTAATACAAAATAAAATAACACCTAACATCGTCTCAATAAACATAATTACACAGAAATGGAAAACACAAATCACATCTTTTTACTTTGAACCAAAACCTAATCCAATAGAACCTTATCTAATTAACATCAAATCACATCTAGAAAACAAACGAACGATAATTGGAGGAGACGCTAATGCTAAAAGTGTATGGTGGGGTAGTGACAAAACGAATCAAAGAGGAGAACTATTAGAAGAATTACTAGAAGAATCAAATATGAATATACTAAATGAAGGAAACACCCCCACCTTTGAAACGATAAGAGGCAACACATTATATTCCAGTATAGTGGACATTACAGCATGCACACCCGAAATGATGAATTTGATTAGTAACTGGGAAGTAAATAAAGGTATTGTAAACTCAGATCATAATGCTATAACATTCAAAATAAAACTAGAAGAACAAAGAGGACTTTATATAATAAATAATACTAGAAAATATAAAACAAAGGGAGCTGAATGGACAAAGTTCAGTAACGAATTAAAAGAAAAACTAAAAGACAATAATCTAAATATAGAACATTTAGAAACTATTACTAATAAAAACAATTTGGAAAAAACGCTAGAAAACTATATAAAAATGGTTACCGAAGTTTGCGATACTCAATTACCTAAGATAAAAAGAGAAACAAAAATAAACATACCTTGGTGGAATGAGACACTTACCAATATGAAGAAAGATGTAGCAAGATTAAAAAGGAGAATAAAATTTGCCAGACCAACACGAAAATTACACGTAGTGGAAGAATACCTGAAAAAGAAAGAAGAATATGAAAATGAAACGGAGAAAGCAAGGACAGAAAGCTGGAAGGGCTTTTGTGGAAAACAAACCAAGGAAGGACTATGGGATGGAATATATAAAATAATAAGTAAATCCAGTAAAAGAGGAGAAGATCAACAATTGGAAAAGGAAGGAAAACTATTAACAACACAAGAATCAGCGCAGTGGCTAGCTGAAACATTTTACCCTCGAGACACCCAAGAAAAAGAAAATGAAGAGCAGAAAGAAATAAGAAGAGAAGCAGAAATAATAAATAGAGTAGAAGAAAATGAAAAAGAAGACCCAGAAATTACGATAGATGAACTAATTAGTGTCACTAATAGTTTTAACCCTAAGAAAGCACCCGGAAAAGATGGACTGACAGCAGACATCTGTAAAGAAGCAATAAAAACTGACCCTACATTATTTCTTAAAATAGTAAACAAATGTTTAGAACTAGGATACTTTCCAACACAATGGAAAGAAGCAACGATTATAGTTATTAGAAAGCCTGGAAAGGATAATTATAAAGTACCAAAATCCTACAGACCAATAGGATTACTGCCAGTAATGGGGAAAATTCTAGAAAAAATCATCATCAAAAGAATAAATTGGCACATCATCCCCAAACTGAGTAAAAATCAATATGGTTTTATGCCGCAAAAAAGTACTGAAGACGCGCTATTTAAATTAATTAACAACATCAAACTAAAACTGAAAAATAAAAAAGATAATTACATTAATTTCACTAGATATTGAAGGAGCCTTTGACAATGCATGGTGGCCACAAATAAAAATTAGATTAGCAAAATTAAAATGTCCTATAAACTTAAGAAAAATCATAGATAGTTACCTTAATAATAGACACATAGAACTAAATTACTTAGGGGAAAAAATTAGGAGAAATACCAATAAAGGATGCGTTCAGGGATCAGTTGGAGGACCCGTCCTCTGGAACGTTGTGATTGACACCCTTCTTCAAACATTGGAAGAGGAAGGGTGTGAATCACAAGCCTTTGCGGACGATGTAGTTCTTTTATTTGAAGGGGAAAATGCTAATGAAATAGAAAATCAGGCAAATAGAATACTAAAAATAATTAACAGTTGGGGAAATTTAAATAAACTTACATTCGCGGCGCACAAAACAAAAGCAATAGTCTTCACAAACAAATTAAAATATAGAGATCCGGATATAATATTTAACAATACAAAAATAAAACTAGAGAAAGAAATTAAAATATTAGGACTAACAATAGATAGGAAATTAACTTTTGAAAATCACGTGAACAATATCATTAAGAAAACAACTAAATTACATAACTACGTTAGTAAAGCAGCAAAAGTTAATTGGGGATTAAACCCGGAAATTATTAAAACCATTTACACAGCAGTATTAGAGCCCATCATCCTCTACGCTTCACCAGCCTGGGGCGATGCAGCAAATAAACTTAGTATTATAAATAAACTTAAACAAATTCAAAGAAAATTCGCTATTAAAATTATTAAAGCATATAAGACAGTATCATATGAAGCATCGTTAACAATAGCTGGCCTTCTGCCATTGGATTTAAAAATTAAAGAATTAGTAAAATTATATAAAATCAAAAAGGGAATAGAGAACGATTATAAAGAATTAGAACCAGAAACAAAAGTAGATTTTAAAACTAAGCCACACCCTGCAAAAGAGATTAGATTAAAATTTAGAGCCGTAACAACAGAAAAGGAACTAGACAAAATTGAAGGAATTAGAATATTCACGGACGGTAGCAAGATTGAAGGAAAAGTAGGGGCCGCGTATGTAGTAATAAAAAATGGAAAAGAGATCACAAATAAAAAACTTAAATTAGGAAACCAGTGCTCTGTATATCAAGCAGAATTGCTGGCAATAATAAAAGCTCTTGAAGCGCTCTCACATGGGACATGGGAAGAGGAAATCAACATCCTCAGTGACTCGCTCTCCTCCATTAAAGCCATCACAGAACTAAACTCAAATCATCAATTAGTATTCCAGATTAAAAACAAAATTAGAGAACTGCAAGATCAAAATATAGTAGTAAAATTAAATTGGATAAAAGCGCACGTAGGACTAATAGGGAATGAAAGAGCTGATGAACTAGCGAAAGAGGCGGCACTAAAGTTAAAAACCAAACCAAATTATGAAAAATGCCCAATATCTACACTTAAAAGAATAATCCGGGAGGAGAGCGTGGAGGAGTGGTGTGACAGATACAGCACATCACAGAATGGATCTGTCACAAAACTCTTCTTTCCAAGCCCAAAAGTAGCGTTCCACCATAATAAAGTTAACACCCACCACCAGCTAAATACCCAAATTCTTACGGGACACGGAGCTTTTAGCAACTACTTGCACAAGTATAAATGCAAAAATGACCCGACATGTGAGTGCGATGGAATCACTCCAGAAACAGTTATTCACTGTCTCATGGAATGTCCCATCCACCAGATAGAAAGATGGAACTTACAACAAATTACCAATATAGACATTAAATCGGAAAACCTCGAGGACCTGATCTTACTCAGACCTGAAGAGTTCTTCCGATTTGCACGCAAAATAATTAAAAAATTAATTACTAGAAATAAGAGCTAAAATGTTAAATGTAGTACTTAGGATTATGTAAGATAATAACAAGCTAAAGTGTAAGGAAGTGTAAGGAAAAATTGTAACTAGAAAAAGAAAACCTGTTTTAGTATTTAAGCATAACTTTAAGTAAATAATTAGTGTATAAGAAAACTGTATTTAAAAAATTAAAATTAGAATATAAGTAAATAAATAGCGATTTAGAAAACTGTTTTAAAAAATTAAGATTAAGATATATGAAAAATAAACAAGACTAGAAATAAGAAAATTGTTAAATAGAATAAGTTGAATAAAGATAAAAACCCTGATGTCATTAAAACCCTAAACAAAGGCTCTTTCGCCAATGAAAGAGGTACATGTAGCTTAGCTTCCTCGGCCCCGGGGCACACGTCGCCGGGGAGGTAGGCCAACTAGAAAAAAAAAAAAAAAAAAAAAAAAAAAAAAAAAACCTTTGCCCCTGTGACAACACTAGCATCCAAACATTTACACACCTCATAAACGACTGCTCCAGGTTCTCCTCCCAAAGGCACGATTGCCTACAGGCACAAACTAGGCACAAAACGCCATACACCATCACACTAAAAGACTCTCTTCTAAACAGTACTGCGATCGACGCCATCGATAAATTTATTAAATATATAGTTAATAACTTAAAATCGTTCAATAACACTTAAATGTAACTAGTAAATTTCTCTCATTGTAAAAATTAAAATTCCCAACTGTAATAACTTCACAGCAAGCAACTTAGCATTGTATAACCTTATATATATATATGTAAATACTTTGTTTGTATAAATATAAGAAAATTATGTTTGTATAGTAAAGCTCTCAATTATATAAATGTAGAATTTAAGTTAAACAATGTCAATGTATAGCTTGTAGACACTAAGGAAAACTTGATTTGTATAGCGACTCTAATTCTAAGAAACCACATTTTGTAAATACCCAGTGTAAAAGGAACTTTGTGGAAAGACTGTATCCAATAGCAGCATCCACAAAGTTTCTTCCCCTAAAATCTGTATATCACTCAAACACCAATACCAATGTACCAATAAGAAAAAAAAAAAAAAAAAAAAAAACCTAACCTAACCTAACCTAACCTAACCTAACCTAACCTAACCTAACCTAACCTAACCTAACCTAACCTAACCTAACCTAACCTAACCTAACCTAACCTAACCTAACCTAACCTAACCTAACCTAACCTAACCTAACCTAACCTAACCTAACCTAACCTAACCTAACCTAACCTAACCTAACCTAACCTAACCTAACCTAACCTAACCCGCCCAGTCACAGCCCATCCGCGGTCGGAGACACACCGAAAAGCCTCGCTCCGCGTTCAAAAAATCCTAAAAATAGGATTTTTCAAAGTTATATACAAGTGTTGTGTATCATTAGACGCGTCTTAGCAAGACGATTCTAACAGTGTATAACTCAAAGCTTAACTCGGAAAAAATCAGTGATTTTCAGTGAAAAAACCGAAAAAAGTTTAAAATAAAAGTGTTCAAGTGCGTGCGGCGCCGAATTAAGATCGGTGACCCCCCCTTTTTCAAGTGCATAAAAAAGCGCCTCCCAGAGACGCGTCGTATGGTGTACGTTGCAGATTTTTCGGCCCTTTTTCTGATTTTATACAACGATTTGAAAATATTTTGATAAAAACGTGGTCCCCGAAATCCTGGAGGAAGACACCGTTTTTATACATCAAAAGAAAGCGCGCTTCAAGCCCAGCACAACGGTGGTCTCAAAAGTGAAATCGGCCCAGCGGAAAAATTTTAAACAACGGAAAACTGGAAAACCATAAATACAAGGTACAAAACCTATTTTTTCTCAAAATCTAAATCGGTGACCCCCCAAATAAAATTTACCAGAACGTTGCCCTCATCAAGACGCATCTTTTGAGGGGTCACAAAAAATTTTCTGAAGCCGGGATATATTTTTAAATCCTGAAAAACAAAAAACCACGTGGCACGTGGTCGAAGATCCCGAGGGATTTCTGGATCAATCGATCGCGTTCTGAAAAGCTCTCGTCGAGGCCATTCCGAAGACATCTTTGGATTTGGAATCTGACCAGAAACAGCCGAGTTATCGGCCCGGGAAGACGGCTGCGAAAAAACCGGGATATCTCGGGAACGGTAGGAGATAGCCCTAAAATAACCTCATTTTCAGTTTCTACCACCTACGGTGGTATAAACGACTTGTCCCGCACCTAATTTATACACCTTCTTTCATCATCCAAAAAATTTTTCAAATTTTTTTTCAAAATTTTAAATTTTCAAAAATCCTTTAAACCGACGTAGCTCCTAAACCGTTAGAGTTAGAGCAAAAATAACAGCAGCCGTGTATACGTAGTAAACGTATACACGTCCAAACGAGCTAAATAAGACCAACCTAACGGTACCCCACCACCCCCTTTTTACCCACCCCCCCTTTTTTCACCCACCCTCTCTAAAAATCAACCCCCTATCCCCTACCGTTCCCAAACTGGACTGTGATTATAGATTGTAATTAGCACATTAAGACTTTTAACTGTATTCTTTTGATACTTCATATATACCGTGGATTTTAACCCTGAGACAAAATTTTTAAAAACTGACAATTAAATAAATGAATTTAAGTATAATATAAATAATATAAGTTTTAAAAATTTTGACTCATCTTAGACGGACTAAATGTTATTGTTATAGAGGTAACTTAAATATATATACTTACCGACCCGCCATCCTGTTTGAGGCACTTTATTGCCATAAAAAACAAAAATTTTAAGTATTTAACACTTGTACTTACCGACTGGGTTGTCTCCTTTTGGTGGCAGCCCTTAGATTTAGAGATTAGATTGTATTGACCTAGGCCCCTATTGGCAAATAAGTTAGATACTAAGGACTCGCTTTATTGGCAATACTATTAGTAAATTTTAATTATTGACATTTTACAAACCTGACAAGCCTACTGACCTACCAAAAATGAGCTCAATTGCCAGAACCCCACCCCCAAAACGACTAAGTCAACAAATGACGGAGACTCTAGACGATACCCGCCATGACAAAACCGTAGTGCTAGAATGTAGGGAAGAAAGACAAAAGTCTAAATTAAGTCCAAAAGGCCTGGTACAAAAACAAGTAGTACGGTTTTCTCTCTCCCCCCCAGCACACCAAAAGCCACAGGCGAAACAGGCATCAGCGAAACCGTCGAATGCGCCAAAAACCTGCGAGCCTGCAAAAATGAGAACAGAGAAGAAGGTCGCGCTAGTCACGACCGCAAGAAAAGAGGACAGACTAAGGGAAGAAGAAAATCAAATGGAACTATTGGAAAGGATAGACAAGCTAATCGACGACTCCAGGAACCTAAGAGGAGATATAAAAGAAGGAATTAAGAAAGCAATCAAATCCCTACGCCAAATAGCAAAACAAACTAAGGAAGACGAAAGTAGACACAAAAAAGAAGGAAAACGAGATACAAGGGAAGTTCAAACGCAGACAGAAGAAGAAGTAACAGAGGAAGCAGATCTAATAGAAAGAAAAGAGAAGGACACAGGCACAGCTGAAAATCTAATGAAGGAACTACGGGAACAGAGGAAAATTATGGAAAAAGAGTTCATGGAACTAAAAAAGGAACTACCAAAAATGACAGCACTGATAGAGGAAAACAGGAAAGAAGAGGAAACATCAAAAAAGGAACTCAGGGAGGCACTTAAACAAGGGATAAATGAAGTTAAATCATATGCCAGCGTGGCCGCGACAGCAGTTAACAAAGCAGAAAACGGTAAAGCAAAGATGGAATATGAAAAGGCAAAGTACGCCATAACAGTCGCATCGGAAGGAAAGGAAACAAGTGGAGAGGTATTGGAAGAAATAAGAAAGGTAATAGATGCAAAGAAGACGGGCATAAGGGTAGACAGGATCAGAAAAATAAAAGACCAAAGAGTAGTAATAGGATGTGAAGACAGAGAAGAATTGGAAAAGGTAAAGAATAAATTAAAGACGAACAATAAACTGCTAGTCGAAGAGGCCTCGAACAAGGACCCGCAAATTATTCTGAAGGATGTCTTGAGTGTCCACACGGACGAGGAACTCGTGGCGGCACTCAAAACACAGAATAAGGACTTAATGAAGGGAATGAAGAAGGAAGACGGGGAAAGGATAAGGGTGAGATATAGAAGGAAGACGAGGAACCCACACACCAACCATGTTGTACTGCTGGTCCCGCCAAAAATGTGGCAAAACATCACAGAGACGGGCAGAGTACACATCGACCTACAGAGAGTGGTGGCGATGGACCAAACACCCCTAATTCAGTGCTCGAGATGCCTGGGTTACGGCCACGGACGAAGACTCTGTAAAGAAGAGCAGGACACCTGCTCGCATTGTGGGGGACCCCACAAAAAGGAAGCCTGCCCTGAAAACCAAAGCGGGACAAAGCCGTCCTGCATAAATTGCCGCAGGGCAAATATGGAAACGGTCAACCACAATGCTTTCGAACAGGAGTGTCCGGTAAGGAGAAAATGGGACAGATTAGCAAGGGCCTCGGTGGCCTATTGCTAAGGTTATGAAAGGAAGAGACATGGACAAGAAGTCGCTCTTGGTGGTCCAGGCTAACCTGCAGAGGAAAGACGCGGCCACCACAGAACTGATAATGGAGGGACAAAGTAGGAAGGTGGCGGTGGCGATGGTACAGGAACCGTACGTGGGAAGAGAAGGGAAAATGAAGAACTACGGATGCACCAGAATCTTCCAGTTCGTGGGTAAAGCAGAAAAGGTAGTCAAAGCTGCTATCGTGTTGTTTGATCCAAACACCGATGCAACACTTTGCCCAGACCTCACCACTCCAAACATCGTAGTGGTGAAAGCAAAAACCCACGAGCAGGACGTGCATCTCGTATCATTTTACTTCGAGCCCACGCCCACGCCCATCGAACCCTACCTAAACGAGATCCGGAAGATTTGGAAGTCGGTAGGCCCTAACGTCATCTTTGCAGGTGACGCCAATGCCAAGAGCGACCTCTGGGGGGGAAAGATTACGGATAGAAGGGGGGAAAGCTTAATGGGATTAATCGCAGAAATGGGGGCATATGTGTCGAATGAAGGCGAAACGCCTACATTCGACACATATAGAGGTGGTAAGAGCTACAGCAGCTTCGTCGACATTACATTCCACTCCGCCAACCTTTTAGGATTGGTGAGGGAATGGAGGGTCGAGGAGGCACTGACCAGCTCGGACCACAACGCCATTCTGTTTGAGTTAAAAGAAACCAAATTGAAAGGGGTAACGATGGAAAGAACAACGAGGATCTACAACACAGGGAAGGCGCACTGGACTAATTTTCGTGAGAAAATTGGCCAGCTGCTAGAAAGGGAAAAGATGAGTGCAGAAAGCATAGAGAAGATAGTCAAGGAGAATGAGTTGAACAGGGCGGTTGAGAAGTATACAGAAATGATTAAGAAAGCATGTGAAGAAAACATACCAAAGCTAGGAAAGACTAAGAAACTTACCGTACCGTGGTGGACCCAGGAACTGGCAGAAATGAAGAAACAGGTCAAAACTAAGAAAAGAAGAATCAGGTGCGCAGCAGCATCTCGAAGACCGAAAGTGGTAGAAGAATACCTGAAAATAAAAGAAGAATACGAAGTTAATATAAAAGACGCAAAATTAAGAAGTTGGAAAGAATTTTGTAGTAAACAGGATAGGGAAGGGATGTGGGAAGGAATATATAGAGTGATCAAAAGGACAGAAGTTAGAAAAGAGGATGTGCCTTTAATAAAGGAAGGAAAAGTGCTGGGGATGGAAGAGTCTGCAGAATTATTAACGAGAACCTTTTACCCTGATGATGACGAGGGCGAAGATAAACAGGTGCACAAGGAAACAAGGGCAAAAGCGCGGTTGGTGAACGAGGGCCCCGGTGACGACCGTCCGGAGCCTCCGTTCACAGAACATGAGCTGGGAATGGTCCTGAGCACATTTAACCCCAAAAAAGCACCTGGACGAGACGGACTGACCCTGGACATCTGCAGGGAAGCAATTATGGCCGAACCGACACTTTTCCTCGCGCTCATAAATAGGTGCCTCACAATAGGACACTTCCCCACCATCTGGAAGGAGGCCACCGTGGTGATACTTCGGAAGCCGGGTAGGACGGACTACACAACTCCGAAGGCGTACCGACCGATTGGCCTGCTTCCAGTGATGGGGAAGATTGCGGAAAAACTCTTTGTGAGAAGAGCAAGCTGGCACATCATGCCAAAATTGAGCGCGAGGCAGTACGGGTTCATGCCGCAACGTAGCACCGAGGACGCCCTCTATGACCTGTTGAGCCACATAAAAAACTCTCTTCGCGAAAAGAAGATCGCAGTATTGGTCTCACTCGACATAGAGGGCGCCTTCGACAGCGCATGGTGGCCGGCCATAAGGTGCAGACTGGCGGAGACGGGATGCCCTAAAAATTTGAGGAGGGTCTTCGATGGTTACCTGAAAAATAGGAAAGTGAAATTGAGGTACGGGGGGAGCGAGATAGAGAGGAATTGTATGAAAGGTTGCGTGCAAGGATCCATAGGGGGCCCAATACTATGGAACCTGTTGTTGGACCCCCTACTGCAAGGCCTTGAAAGAAAGGGAGTCTGCGCCCAGGCATTCGCGGATGACGTTGTCTTGGTCTTCGACGGCCACACTGCCCGGGAGATCGAAGGGAAGGCCAACGCAGCCCTCGCCTATGTTCGGGAGTGGGGCGTCATGAACAAGCTGAAGTTCGCACCACACAAAACCAAAGCTGTGGTTGTGACTAAGAAGCTGAAGCATGATACCCCACGACTGAGCATGGGCGGGGAGGGCATTGAGGTGGTGAGAGAGGTGAGGCTTCTCGGACTAATAATAGACGAGAGCCTCACCTTCAACACCCACGTCAAAACCATCTGTGCGAAGGCCCACCGGATCTTCCACCAGCTGGCAAGAGCGGCAAAAATTAGCTGGGGCCTCGACACGTCAATCATCAGGACCATCTATACTGCAGTCATAGAACCCGTCCTGATGTATGCCGCGGGTGCATGGGGGCAGGCTGTAAGTAAAAAGTGTGTAAGAGTTCAGTTTGACAGAATTCAGAGAGTGTTTTTACAGAGGATATGTAAGGCGTACAGAACCGCATCGCTACACTCAGTGCAAATCCTCACAGGTATTTTACCCATTAACCTGAGGATTGAGGAGGCGGCGGTCCTGTACAGGGTGAAAAGAGGTCTAAGTCCCCTCCCGTATCTCGACGCGGACATAGAGACAAGAGTTAGACCAAACGAACTCCCTCACCCTGCTGACGAGCCGCGTCTGACGTTTGACCAATACAGCCTGGAACTGGGACTTGACGAACAGACAGACGCTACAAATATATACACCGACGGTAGCAAGACTGATGACGGGGTGGGTGCCGCAGTAGTGCTGCGAAGACTTGACAAAGAACTCAAGACTGTTAAAATAAAACTGGCGACTTACTGTACTGTCTTTCAGGCCGAAATGGTGGCGCTGCACAAGGCGGTGCAACTGGCAACGAAAGTCGCCAGCCCAAGGGTGAACCTGTGCAGCGACTCCAGATCGGCCTTGGATGACATAGTGAGCGGTCGCTCCCTCAGTCCCCTCGTTGTGCAAATTAGAGAGACCCTTGGGAGCCTCTCCAACCACAAGGAGGTGAGGCTCTACTGGATTAAAGCACACGTGGGTCACGAGGGGAATGAGAGAGCCGACCAGCTCGCTAAGGAGGCCGCACATGACAAGAAGAGAAAACCCGACTATGACAGATGTCCAGTCTCAAAAATAAAAAGACTTTTGAGAACCGACTCGATTCGGCGGTGGGAGGAGGAATATGGAGGTGGAACAACGGCTTCCACCACCAGGTTCTTCCTTCCAACCGTCGCATCTGCCCTTAAGGCAATGAGAGAGGTGAGGCTGGACAGCGAACTAACACAGGCCCTAACGGGCCATGGTGGGTTCGCCGCTTACCTCCACAGATTTAAATTAAAAGATGACCCCACTTGCATCTGTGGGGAGGGCGACGAAACTGTATTGCACCTGTTAACTCGCTGTCCAGTTCACGCGCGAGACAGAGCTGAAATAGAAATGAGACTGGACATAAACTTGACTGAAAATAGTTTGTCGGAAATATTCTCCAGCAATGAAGCGAGGCCAAAATTAGTAAAATATATAAAGAAAATAGTACAGAAGGCAAACGCCAGAAATAAGTAATAAAATATAATCAACAATAAAATGTTATAAACAAAAGAAAGCAATGTATAGAAATAAAATAAAGTGTAAAATAAGTATAGACATAAGAAAAGTAAATGTAAGCAATAAAGAACTAAATTAAGACTTACGTATAGATTTAAGATAGACAAATGTATGTAACAACAAAACAAATGATGGATACAAATAAAATGGACAGATGTAAAGTTATTTTAAACCCAGTAATAAAAACAATAAAGATATACACATAGACAGATATTCCACGGCCCGGAGATAACTTCGTCCGGGGGGTAGGCTCAGTAGGTGAAAAAAAAAAAAAAAAAAAAAAAAAAAAAAAAAAAAACCTAACCCGCCAACGCCGCCATTGCCCTAGCTCGTTTCACACCCTTAGATCTCAAAGTTTTAGAAACCCACGAAATAGACACAACCCGTATAAATCGCACTTCAAATAGAATTCCAAATGACATCCCCCTAGAAAAACCGACAACCTTTTCGGACTTACTTCACCCAGCTGAACGTATTTCAATTCACACACTCACACCTGATACATACAATCAAATCAATCACTCCGGGTTTCACCACATTTACACAGACGGTAGCAAACACGAGAACGGCTCTACGGGCGCTTCTTATGTGGTATACCGCCCCCTTGAACGCACACACAAACACGTACACACTAAACTCGTCAAACTTCACCACACCAGCTCTGTATTTCAAGCAGAGCTTGTCGCTATCAAACACGCATGCACATATATACAAAACAAAAACATCACCCACGCTATTATCCACACAGACTCACTTTCCTCAATCTCTGCCCTCAAACAGAGCAACAATACACACCCCATCGTGACAGACATACACAAAACACTTCACCAAATCCAGTACACTCACACCCACAACAATATACTCTTCAGCTGGGTGAAGGGGCACTCGGGTGTAGAAGGGAATGAAGCAGCAGATATAGCCGCTAATAAGGCTGCAAACGCTCATAAAGCACCAGACTTCATTTCTTGCCCCATATCCTACATCAAGAAAAAGATCAAAAACGAAACATCATTAACTTCCCAAACCAGATATTCCAACGAAAATAAAGGGTCCCACACTAAAAACATATTCCCTCTTCTCTCAGATATAGATAACTTCTTTAAAGCCATTCCCGTTTCGTTTCAAATGACGCAATTTCTAACAGCCCACTCTTATGCAAAACATTATTTACACCGTTTTCACATCTCCGACGACCCCTTCTGTCCTTGCGATAATAACTCCAATCAAACCCTCGATCATCTCACAAGACACTGCCCTCGCTTCACCCTCGCACGACACGTCCACGAAGAGCTCTGCCGGTACGCGGACACCGAGCCTTACGATATACCCCAAATAATAAAAAAGCATGATACCTCTAAATCATTTGAAAATTTCGTGAAACACATCATAAACAACTTAAAAAACTTTAATCAAAATACCCGCGATAATTAAGTTAAAATCACCAACACACCTAATTTAAAAACTCCCACGCACTCACCCAGCGGTCAATCCCTTCTACAATATAGCTCAAGTTACTTGAAGCGGCGCCAACGTAGAATCTGTAATTACAATCTTAAGTGTATTCTTTTTAGTTCTTAGACTATTTTTGCATAAATCATTTTAAATTTATAGACTGTATAATTTTCACTATATCCTTACATAGCAAATAAGCTAAACTTATATTGTATAATTCTGCCTTCAGCAAACTAACTTTATAAAACAATAAAAATTAGAATCAATTTAGTATTGTATTCCTTTGAAGTCATGGACCATCTTTTGTTAACTAACTTTTGGAACCTAATTTTAAATTTTTGCATTATATAATTATAACTTTATCTAATATAAATATATTTAAATTGTATACATTTTTAATAATTCTGTATAATTTGTAAATTATAGTTAAATAGCTTCTCACAAATGTTACTACTAGGTTAAGCGACTTATTATGTATAGAATCATTAGTTTATAAATCCTAGTGTTTAAAGGAACTCCGTGGAAAGTTTGTATCAAATAGCAACATCCACGAAGTTCCTATCAATATAATGTATCAATTTATCAACAAACATAGAACCAAAGTTAAAAAAAAAAAAAAAAAACCTAACCTAACCTAACCTAACCTAACCTAACCTAACCTAACCTAACCTAACCACCGTAGTAAAAGTCATCTCTAAACCTTCAAAATCAGACTACACAGACTTATCATCATATCGCCCAATCGGCCTTATACCTGTATTTGGAAAAACGTTAGAGAAACTGTTCACTAGGCGCGTCATATACTTGGCACAACACAACAAAACACTAAACACCACACAATATGGATTCACCCAACAGACAGGCACTACACAAGCCATACTTTCAGTAATCAACAAAGTCAAAGCCTCAAAACAAAATCACCACGAAACACTAGCAGTCTCACTGGATATTAAAGGCGCTTTCGATAACGCCTGGTGGCCAGCTATCCTTAGCGGACTTAGGGACGTCGGATGTCAATTGAATATCTACAAACTGACTGGGACGGCTGACTCCAAGTCAGCGTGCTGCCTCCAAGGTGGCAAAGGAGAGGCGCGGAAGCGGCTTCGGCCGCTTTAGGAGCGCTGCAGCTTCATCAGCAGAGCCTTAACCATGTGACCCACCCTGGCGAATGCCGCAGCGAAGCTGCAGCTCTCCTAAAGCGGCCGAAGCCGCTTTCGCTCCTCTCCTTTGCCACCTTGGAGGCAGCACGCCGAAGACACCACTGCCCAGCAGGGCAAAAACACCTAAAACGGGCGAAAACGCCCCCACCATTATGCCTCCTGTAGCCGGGTGTGCCGGGCAACCTTTTTTTTTTTTTTTTTACTTGGAGGAATCGACTCTTTACCGACGCCCCCGCCTGGCCACATCGAGTGGCGGGGGGAGTGTGGGGGTCGGCCAGCTTGACCACTACCCACTAAACCTCCAAGAGCCCACGGGAGACTTGCCGGACGCGAGCGGGCGGTTAGTTGCCCTTGACCCGCATGCCCGCGCCCGTGTGTCCTGCCGCGCGTGTTTCCCGCGCGCGGCTCGCCCTACGTGGCCGGTTGTTGGCCACGTCTCCTGGCTCGGTCCTAAGACCGAGGTCACGGCGGACGCCGGGCGTAATCGCGCCGGCGCCGCCCAAGTCTCCTCCGTCGGAGAGCGGGGGCGTCGGGAGCAATCTCCCTCGCCCTCTCCGCTTCCTCCTTTCGCGAGAGGACGTCGGCGCAGAAGGCCTTAAAGGCCTGCCACGGAGCGTCGTCCGCGCTCCTAACTATCCCTGCCACAATGGCGGGCAGGGATAGATCCGCGCCGAATGCTCCGGCCAGGGCAGTCCTCTGACTTGCCCAGGCCGGGCATGCCTCCAAGGTGTGTTGCGCCGTGTCTGAGGCGCATCCGCAGTGATGGCAGGAGTCTGTTTCCTCCCGCCGGATCCTGTGCAGGTATTTGCCGAAGCATCCGTTCCCCGACAAAATCTGCACCGCGTGATAGGACAAGGATCCCCACCGCTTCGTCCTCAGCCATTCGGGCAGGACGGGCGCGATCGCTTGAAGCGTATGCGCGCCTACCCGAGAGGTGGCAAGATGTTCTTGCCACCGCGCAACGACAACCCTTTGGCCGTCCTCCCTCCAATCCTTGAGGAGCTCATGAGTGAGCTCCTCGCCTCGACTCCGGACTAGAGCCCGGCGCCAGTAAATGTCGGCCAAAGCAGCCGCCTCCAGGTGCCAGGGTGCGAGCCCGGCTATCGCGCACACCGCATCATAAGATACGGTGCGGTACGCCCTCGCCACCCTGAGCGCCATCACCCGTTGCGACTGCCTCAGCAGCGCAAGGTTCTGCGCCGACAAATCCTGGGCCCAAATGGGGCAGCCATAGAGCGCCTTGGAGCGCACAACGCCGGCGTACAAGCGGCGACACCCCTCGCTCGAGCCGCCAAGGTTCGGCATAATTCGGCACAAGGCCGATGCCGTGGCGGCGAGCTTCGGGGCAAGTGCCGCAAAGTGCGCCTTAAAGGACCACCGAGAGTCGAGAACCAACCCCAAATACTTTAGGGTGGACCCTATCTCGATGGCCTCTCCGCCGACGATGATTTGCGCCCCGCTCGGCGGCGCTCTCCTGGGACCGTGGAATGCGATCGCCTCTGATTTGTTCAGGGCGACTCGCAGGCCAATCCTCTGGATCCGCGCCACGACCTGTGCCACTCCGGCCGTGGCGCGAAGCTTGGCCTCGCGGAAATCGTCGCCCCTCGCAACCACCAGGGTGTCATCCGCGTAACAGATGACGCTGACACCCGTGATCAGAGAGCAACGCAGGACCCCGTCGTAGCCGATGTTCCACAGCAGTGGACCCAACACCGATCCCTGTGGCACACCGCACCTGACGGGGTGGGAACCCCATCCGTGTCTCCTGGGGAACGTGATGCGTCTCGCCGTGAGATACGACGCAATCACGTCGCGAAGATAGACAGGCACGCCATGGTAGCGAAGCCCATCCATAATCGCGTCCCAGGGCAGGGTGTTGAACGCGTTGGCAATGTCCAGCGACACCGCCAAAACAACCCCGCCCTCCGCCACAGTCCCGTCTGACACATCGCGCAATCTCGCGATCGCGTCGATTGTCGACCGCCCCTTCCGAAAGCCAAACTGGCAATCGGATAGGTCTGGCCCCTCCAGAGCCAAGTGCTGCTGGATGCGGGTTGCTATTATACGCTCAAAGAGCTTACCCGCTTCGTCCAGCAGTACGATCGGCCGATACGCCGAAGGCGAGTCCGGCGGTTTGCCAGGCTTCTGGAGAAGAACCAGCCTTCCCTCCTTCCACAAGTCCGGAAAGACACGGTTCCGCAGACAAGCCGACAACAGCTTGCGGAACCGCTCGTCGAGGCCGAATTGCAAGGCAAGAGACAGCACCTTCCCGTGCACCCCATCAGGGCCGGGAGCCGTCCTCTTGCCTCGCGTCCTGCCCAAGGCCGAGCTGAGCTCGGCCGATGTCACGTCCGGTGCCCCCGCGTCCGAGGGTGGCGTCGACTGGGAGGGAAGCGAAGCATCCGCATGGGGAAACAAGGCCGACACGACTGAGTTCAGAAGTGCCGGCTCCATGCTGGATGTCAGGGGTGGGGCCCAGGGGCGCAGCTTGCTCATTACGAGCTTGTACGGCCGCCCCCATGGGTCTAGCTCCAAGGTGCTCAGGAGCTCCTCCCACGCCCTTTCCTTCGCCTCCGCGATCTTCATCCTCAGGGCCTTCTTTGCCTCCTGATAGAGGCAATAGAGGCGCCCTTCCCCTTCGGTGTTCCGCGAGGCACGCCGTCTCCTCCTGTACCTGGTGTACTGGCGTCGGGCCACCACACAAGTTGACCGAAGTGCGGCCAACTCCTCCGACCACCAGTACACCTGCCTACGCGGCGGAAGAGGTCGGGACCGAGCCATTGAAGCGTCACAGATACGCTCCAAGGCCGCCCCGAACCACTCCACCTCCTCCCTCACCGAAGAAGACTCCGGCTCTGGACACCAGGTGGCCACTATCGAGGCCACCTCCACCATCTCCCTGTCCAGAGACTTCAGGGCCCAACGAGGGCCCCTCTGCGCCGGAGGGGCGCCAGGCCCGATCGCCGTGGATTGAGAGGAGACACTGAACCGTATGTAACGGTGATCAGACAGCGTCTCCTCCCCGTCCAACACCTCCCAGTCGACGATGCGGCGTGCAAGCCCGGGGCTGGCAAAGGTAAGGTCCACTATGGACCCCCCCTGCATGCGGACGCACGTCTGCGTCGAGCCCCGGTTCACGAGCGCCAGGTTGTGCGCGGCCATCCACTCCACAAGGACGTCGCCACGAACATCCGAGGTTGGGGAACCCCACACTGCCGATTTGGCATTGAAGTCCCCCGCCACGACCACCTCATTCGGGCGACTCCACTGCACAAGGGCATCCACTTCCGCCAGGAACCCCTCGAACTCCGAGAGAGTCCTGTTGGGCGAGAAGTAGACCCCCACAACCGTGATGTGGCCGCACTTCACTGCAGCACAACCCTGGCCTCTCCGTGAAGAGACAATTGGGGGAGAGCCACCGGCTCCGGGGACGACAATGGCGACAGTTTCGCCAATGTCCCCGACCCAATTGTCCCCTTGCTGCACCGCGTATGGCTCCGCAATCACCGCGATGTTTATGGACCACTGCGCCAGGCCCTGGAATAGAAGATCCTGGGCCCTGGCGCAATGATTCAGGTTCGCCTGGAGGAACCGTAGGGCCATACTAGGCCCCTACGGTCTCGGCAACCTCCATCGCGGTCCCGCTCGGAGGGACGGCGGAAAACCGTTAGGTTAGGTTAGGTGCCGGGCAACCTAACCTAACCTAACCCAACCTAACCTGTTTTCCCGATTACAGACACAAAATCCGATCTCGGAGGGGGTAGGGGGAGGAAATGAGGAAATCTATTGGAGCCAAAAGACTTGCCGTGCCGAGACGGA